GATTCTGGGAAAAGTGATAGGAACTTGGGAGAAGAGTTTTTGGTGATGAGCAATGATGACTTTGGTTTAAAAATCCTGCAGAGGTAGAAAGCATTAGTTCTTGGTGGTTTCTCACTGTGTTTTGGCTCTCCGCTCTCACAGTCTGTTTGCCCTGAGAAGATGGTTATGTCACAGAAACCGCTGAGTGCAGGAAAAATGACTGTATTGGATTTGTGTTTAAGGAGTGTTTTGGACCTCTTTACCATGGTGTGTTAAGGTGGCTTGCTTTCTGCCAGTCCGGTGTTTCACCTTCAGTCTGTCTAGGTGTGCACATTAGTTTTGGGGACCACTTTGTTCTGTTCTCTGCACTGGCTGGCCTAAAGACTGAAGAAAAATCAAGGTCAGATGGGTTTCAGGAACTGAAGCAGGGAGATGACAGCTGTGTATTCAAGCATTGAAGTGTTTCTGAGAGAAACCAACAGTGTTGTCATTCACCCTGTGAGTATGAAATTGGAAGCTCACTTTCCCTGGAGTGTTTCATCACATTTACCTCTGGGAAGTCAAGGCCATGTGGACATTAAATTTCCATTGTCCCCTAGGCCCTGCTTTTCATCCTGTTGTCAGTCACATGATGGTAGATTCAGAAAAGTAGTCTTAAGGCCCTTTTGCCTTACAACCTTAAATTCATTTAGAAAATCAGATTAGCCAGAAAACTGCTGACATCTTAATGCATATTATAATTAATCTACAGAAAGCACCGGCTCCTTGTTATTTTTGCAAAGTTTAACTGGTTTGGGCCTGGGGTTAGTGCTCAGTGGCAGAGCAGGAACGTATTCAAGGGCTCACATTTTTATACTGGGGGTGGGCAAGAAGATGACAGCTTTAGCTCATGGTGAGCTTCTTTACTCCAAAGGAAAGATTTCTTGAGGGAAAATAGTTGTAGTGCCATAAGTTCTTTCTACTTGTAGAGGTATCTTGCTAGGTCTTCAGATTGGAATTCGTCCTCACAAGTGGTATAAGAGGGCCGATAGATGAATAGCTTTGTTGCACTCAGCTTTAAAACACCCAGCTTTGGTCTCTTAAGATAATAATGAAGATTTTTCTTATTTGAGTTCAGTGACTACTTTTGTGTTCCTTGGAATTTCTGAGTTCAAAAATTTTTAATGTGCCCAAATTGTACTGCAGGTCGCTGTTTGTTTCTTGGGATTTCTTTTATGAGCTAGAGTGGTTGGTACTGGTCAAATTGAAAGAGGTGACTGTTTTGAGGGCTTTAACTTACTGTTTTCAGGACACTAATTATGTTAAAGTGGACTGCCTTTGGCAGAGTATGAGCAGTATTTGTGTATTCAAGATAAAATCAGTAAGTTTTGTAAAAATATTCTTTTGAATTTGAATCTTGAAGAGAAAAGTTGAGTTTGGAAACCAACAAAAGGTTTTTTTTTTTTAGTGAAAGTTTATTTTTTATTTTATATGTATTGGTGGTTTTCGGGCATGTATGTCTGTATGAGGGTGTCATACTTGTAGTTATAGACAGTTGTGAGCTGCCATGCGGGTGCTGGGAATTGAACTTGGCTCCTCTAGAAGAGCAGTCAGTGCTCTTAACCACTGAGCTATGTCTCAGCCCCTGAACTCATTTTTGTATACAGATATCTATGTTGGTATTCTGCTGGGACAGAGAGAGAGAGAGAGAGAGAGAGAGAGAGAGGGAGGGAGGGAGGGAGGGAGGGAGGGAGGGAGGAGAGGGAGGGAGGGAGAGAGGGAGGGAGGGAGGGAGGGAGAGAGAGAGAGAGAGAGAGAGAAAGAAAGAAAGAAAGAAAGAAAGAAAGAAAGAAAGAAAGAAAGAAAGAAAGAAAGAAAGAAAGAACAGGCTGTCCTTGAACTCACAGAGATACTATCTGCGTCTGCCTTTTGAGTGCTGGGATTAAAAGCATGCACCACTATACCAGGCTAGGATGGAATAAATTCTTTTGATTGTGAGCCTAGCCTTTAACGGCTGAGCCATCTCTCCAGCCCAAATAAATTCTTAAAAGCTAGCAGCAGCCCTAAAACTAACTATATCATTTTGCTTTCCAAGCACTTGCCTCTGATACTGATTTTAATCCTTCTGGATTTCATATTTCTCCCTCCCATTTCAGTACTTCTGGCTACTTTTCTCCTTTCCTTCCTCCTCTCCTTTCTACAATACCATGAGTTAAATCCAAGCCCTGAACAGGCTAGGCAAGTGTTCTTACCACTGAACTACATTCTCAGCTCTTTGTAGAGCCTGCGGACAAATGTGCTTCAGAAAAACCTAAGGTCCCTTCTGGTCAGAATGTAGAGACCCAAAGGACAGACAGCTGAATAAATTACAAATGAACTTCCTTGTACTGCTTCTTATCAAGTGAAAGAAAGACCCACTGAAGGAGAAAAATGCTAATTGGAAATAGAAATTGCCTTTATTTTTTGTGTTTCTTTAATCATGTCCAAGATCATGTTATGACAAAATCCTTTTCTTCCCATCTCTGCTGTGAGACTGCCCAGTCTAAAGGGATTTTCTTATATATTAAGTTATATGAGGAGTCCAGCTGTAAAGTGCTATTTATATTTTGGAAAACTATGAAAGAATGGATTAATTGACCTAGCATAATGTACCTGTATTGAAAAAGTTTGTTTTTTCTTTAGCTTTTTAGTATTATAAAATTTAGACTGATCTAACTAACAATAGATAAAGTTACATAAGATTTGTATATTATAGTTTATACTGTGTGAAAAAAATAAAATTTTGTTTTGAGACAGGATTTTAAAACAGATTGACCTCAAAAACCGTAATTCTCTTTAACTTCTAAGTGACTGGAATTATACAAACTCTTGAACACTGGACTTGGTCTGGATCCTTCTTTTCTAATATTTTCAAATTCACTTCTCAAACATAAAACACACTCTTGGCTCTAGAGTTTGTAGCAACAGGAAGAGAAGTAGAGTTGCATTGCTGTTCATAGTGGTGCATACAGTTCACTGACAAGCACATTTTAGATCTGGGATTAGAAAGAAAATCACTGCTGTCTGCTCTGATAATTCAGTAATGTAGAGAAGAACACATCTTTACAATAATTTTGTGGTGAATTTATCAGCTTCATGAAGCTAATTTTATAAGATCTTTATTTTACTCATATCTGTATTCCCAGGGCCTCAAGTGGTGCTTGACCTAAAGGGATTCAGTTGATAATTTGAATGACAAATGAATGAATGAATTTATGGTTGCAGTGTTACTGGAAATGTTGATTTGCCTAATGTGAAAATATATGTGTACATATATGTGTGTGTGTATGTATATATATATATATATATATTTGTAGACCCAACACTGGATGTTAAAGCAAGAGGCTGTTAAGTTCATGGCTGTCCTGGGCTACATAGAAAGAACCTGTCAATTACAAAGTAATTTCACATAAGTCAGTAAATGCAGTTCTTCAGGGGTCTAGAGTATATAAGTATTTGGTTTTCCACTTACTAATCATTATAGTTGATTAAGTCAATAAAATGTATGGTAGTTAGGTTTTCAGAGACCAAGTAAGAATGGTAAATTAATAGAGCCCAGTGGACAAGACGGTACTTTGTCCTGATAGTATTTTTCCACACCTAATTTGTGTGGTTTTTTGAGACAGGGTTTTGCTGTATAGCCCTGGCTATTCTGGAGCTCAATTTGTAGACCAGGCTGGCCTCAAACCCACAGAGATTCACCTGCCTCTGCCTCCCGAGTGCTGGGATTAAAGGCGTGCATCACTACCACCCAGCCCTAATGTGTTTCTTTTAAAGTTAAAAAAACATTTTTATTTAAATATATGTGGGTTCATGTATATATGGAGGCCAGAGGTCAACCTCAGGTGTTATTCAGGTGCTCTGTGTATGTGGATCTGTCTGTGTCTTTCTGACTGACTGACTGTCCCACAAGACAACCTTGAGGAATCAGTTCTCTCCTACTGTGTGGGTGTCAGGGATCGTTCTCAGGTGGTCAGAGTTGCCAACAAGTGCTTTTATTGACTCAGCTGTCCAGCTGGCTCCACTGTGTTTTTGGAGATAGTCTTTCATTGGCCTGGAGCTTGCTGAGTAGGTTAAGCTGACTGGCCAGTGAACCCTAGAGATATATCTGCCTGTCTCTTTCTCCTCAGTGTCAGGATTACAAGTACATGGTTCCTTATCCAGTTTCTTACATGAGATCTGGGGACTGAGTTTAGGTCCTTATGCTGATACAATAAGCACTTTCCTGTGATTTGGCCATCTTAGCCTAAAGTTTTTTAAGACAGTCTTGCTATGTAGCTCATACTAGCCTGGAACTCACTGTAGCCCAGGCTGGCCCTGAATTTACAATCTTCCTTCTGTCTTTCTAAATGCTGGTATTACACTCATCACCTGACTTTGAGGCTCTACTTAACATAAAGTTTTAGTTATTCTCAGTATAGCACACTATATGTTAACTGTATTAGTCTCTTATTACTAGAAAAAAACACTTGATAAGGAAACTTGCTTAGCTTACAGTTTTAAAGTTTGGAAGTCTAAACTTCAACAAGGGTCCCCCATCTCTCTGACTGCCGTACATCATGGCAGGGATGTTGCAGGAGCAAAGAGCACATTTCCAAACAGGAAGTCAGAACATGACACAGAGGTGAGGCTTGTTAGAATAATTTGTCTTCACCGAATCCACTTAGGCCTCTACAAGAACAACCTTAATCCTTTCTGAAATAATACTACCCATGACCTAGCCAAGGCCTTAATGCCCAACCTCATAAAGATCTCCCTACCTCCCACTGTTGCCACAGTAGATAGTCCTCAAAATTATAAGACATGAATTCTTGGGGTCAAATTGTACCTAATCCATAACACTAGGGTGTTTATTTTCTTATCTGTCTTTTGTATTTGTGTGATTCTTGGTTCTTTATATATAAGGTTAACTTGCATATTGTAACCAGTAAATCCAGTTTATTTCTATAAACTTTGTAAATAGAGACTAACTTGTTTCAACTGTTTTCTGTATCTGTTGACAGTCTGAGGATGATGAGAAGCTGAAAAAGAGGAAGGAGAGATTTGGGATTGTGACAAGTTCAGCAGGAGCTGGAGCTACAGAGGATACAGAGGTGAACTGTACTTAGAATGCTTCATAGAGCTGTAAAATCAGTCAAACAAAACCCACCAGAATTGTGCACATGTGCACATATATGTCCTCACATGTCAAGGCCTGTGTGTGGACATCAGAGGACAACTCTGGAGAGTCATTCTTGGTTTCTACCTGTGAAGGCAGTCTCATTGTTTCTGTCACTGTTCAGCTTACTCCAGGCTGGCTGGTTTGTGTGCGTTCTGGAGATTGAACTCCGGTTCTCAGTTATCAGGCTCACTTGGCTAACATTCCCACCTGTTTCCTTCATCCCTCTTGGATGCTTTTTTGTTTTGTTTGTTTTTTGTTGTTGTTGTTTTTCTGAGATAGAGTTTCTCTGTATAGCCCTGGCTGTCGTGGAACTAGCCCTGTAGACCAAGCTGGGCCTCAAACTCACAGAGATCCACCCGCCTCTGCCTCCCTGGGACTAAAGGTGTGTGCCACTGCCACTCAGCTTTCCTGTATGGGTTTTGAGATGGTCTCTCACTGATGGATTAAGCTGGCTGGTCAGTGAGCTCCTGGGATCTGCCTATCTTCCCCTTACCCAGTGAGAGGGTTACAGGCATTCGCCAGCTCAGCTTCCATGTAGGTCCTAATGGCTGTTTGTTCAATAAGCAACTGAACAATCTTGCTAGTCCCTAAAGTTTCTTTATAAACAAGTATATATACCATGAAAATTATAGATCAAGGGCTGGAGAGATGGCTTAGCAGTTAAGAACACTTTGTTGCTCTTGCAGAGGACCTGTGTCTGATTCCCAGCATGTGGTACACGTGTGTATGTAGTCAAAACAGTCGTACATGTAAAATAAATAAATCTAAAAAAAATACAGTCAAATCAGTTTATGCTCTTTACTAGGAGAAAAACTAATGGTATCTGTAGACCTTGATCTACTGAAGTAAGATGTTATCTGTAGTAAGTAACTGCTTACTTGCTGGTGTAACAGGATGGGGCTTGCCTCAGTCCGCGCTGGTTAGTTGTTTTCTTCTTACATGGAAGCTGTTGTTAAGCCAGGTATTTCCCTAAGTGGGTACATTGGCTTCTCCAGGCTAAAGAGGGTGGTAGGAACAGTGGCTTTGGATGGTAGTCACCTCATGCAGTTTATATGGAAAAGTTTTGTCTCATTTCAAGGAATTATGTCATTATTAGTCCTAGTGAAATGGGCTTGGAGTATATTCTGCTTTCCAAAAAAAAGTATGCATCAGACCTGCAATGCGAATTAACTACAGAAAACTTGCCTGTGTTCTGGGGTAGTAGCTGAAGTGAAGATCAAGGACACAGAGTGCTTTTCCTGAGTTGCTCACAGCTGATTTTGTGCCCTTTTCCCATCAGTGCTTTCTCTAAGACATGCATAATACACATAAGTGCTGAGCCCCATTGTATTCACCACATGACCCTGGTCATTAAGGAGGCACCTAAAAGGAACTAGACTATATTAGTCATGCTCAGAGACCTAAAAGCAGCCTTTACAAGATGGGGTTTGCTATAGAGTAAAGTATTCAGACATGAGGGGAGAGGCTTGATTTAGGAGGGGAATTAATGGTTGTACGATTTGCTGAAGGAGGCAGAGGCAGGAGGATCATGTGTTTGAGGCTACCGGTAATGGTGGCCACTTCTCTAATCCTAGCACTACGAAGGCAGAGCCAGGAGGATCTCTGAGTTCAAGGCCAGCCTGGTTTACAGAGCGAGTTCCAGGACAGCCAGAGCTGTTACACAGAGAAACCCTGTCTTGAAAAACAAGGGGAGGGGAATTACTGCCTCATTCTAACTGCTGTGTCCTCTTTCCACTAATTGTAAGGAAGTCTTTCCTTTTTCTGCCACTCTTTCCCTCCCCCATTCTCCCTTACCCTTCCCTCTCTCTTTTTCCTATATTTTTATGTTATATGTATGGATGTGTTTTACCTGCATTTCTCACCTTTCGTTTTCACTAAACCTCCCCATTTCTTACTGGACAGCTGGAGAGATTCAGGAATAAAGTCTTGAAGTCAGTAGTTATCTCTTCTTGGGCCTTTTGACAGTTAATGTGGGTTTGGATTAGAACTGCCAGGAACTTGATCTGCTTACAATCTAATTTTTTTTCTTGCTTTTTCATTGCAGGCAAAGAAAAGGAAAAGAGCAGAGCGTTTTGGGATTGCATAATGAAAAGTTCATGCTTTCTGCCTCATAGTGGTTTCCATTTCTCAAATTCTTCATGGTTTTTATACACACACGTATGTCATGTGCCTCACAGTGAGGAATCGTGTACTTTAGGTGTGCATCATTGGATTCCAGCAGCAGTTTGATGTAACTGCTACTCTGCATTTAAGTTGTTATATTTTTGTTTTTAATTATTTTGCCTATTAATAAAAAAAGAAAGAAAAGAGAACGTGTTTTATTAGGTGCTCCTTTAAACTGCCCGAAGAGGCCACACAGGAGGAGTGTCAGAGGCAGATATTAGGGGAATTAGCTGTAATGCTTTTATCCCATAGTAAAGAAGATAAGATTTAGTCTACCTTTTAAGCCTGTTTATTATCTTCTTGATACTCCCACATATACTTTTATTTATTGTTCATGATGAGGCCAAGTCATTGAAATAGCCAGGTAGTGGTGGCACATGGCTTTTTATTCACAGCACTCAGGAGGCAGAGGCAGGTGGATCTCTGAATTCAAGGCCATCCTGGTCTACAGAGTGAGTACCAAGACATACAAGGCTACACAGAGAAACCCTGGCTTGAAAAACCAAACAAATAAATAAATGCCAAATGAATTAGTAGTTAGGTAGATAGATAGTTAATTAGAGGTTGAAATAATAAATTAGATAATGTGGAGAAAGTGTGGGAGACTTAGGGAATGTAGAGGATAAGATATAGGGCTAAGAATTGATAGTCTTCTTGCTTTGAATGAAGCCTAACTGGGTAAAATGGAATCCATTGTAAAAGGGCCCTGTTTTCCAGAGTGGTCTGACATGGTATCATGGTGTCGTCTGATTAGAGCAGAAGTCAGTATGTGTGGGACCTTGGTGGTTACAGCTGGAGAAGGTAAATGGTCTGGTCACTCCTGAGGTAGAAGTGTAGGAATCTAAAGCGTGACCAGATGTTAAAGTATTGTTACCTGGCTCATTGGGGCGTAAGTAGAACAAGATGCCTGGTGTTTTTGCTCAGTACTGGGGTCAAAGGGCCTCATTCCTGCAGGATAAGCACATGACTACTGCACAGTGGTCCCAGCCGTGCCTGCACTTTGCACTTTCTTGTCAGACTTGCAGCCATGATGGTGATGTGTCTTGGGTGTCACTGAAATTCATTTTCCTTTCTCTTATTTCTCTTAAGTTATACGTAGATCTGAAACCTGCTAGTTAGCCTTTTTGATGTGTTAATGTAAATCTCCTCCCCACATCCTTTCTTTTCCCTGTGGTTTTTGAGACAGACCTCACTGCTAGCTAGCATGGGGGACATGCTGTGTAACCCAGAAGGGAGGCCTTGAATCAGATCAGCCTCCTTAGCCTTCTTAGCAAGCACCACAAATCTGCCTTGGGTTTCTCATTTTAATCTCTCTATTTCGAGATCAGTAAGTGCTTGGTTTGGGAGATTTCTGTAGTAAGTCATATAAGTTTCCTTACTTGAAAACTTTGCTACCATAATTAAATCTTTCATTGCTATGATATAAATCTTTGTCCTTATTTTTACCAAAACCTAGCTGACTCTGTGATTAATAGAAAGTTAGCCTTTCTAACATTTCAGTCTAGTACCATGAAGCATGATGTGTGTGCTTGTAATCACAACACTCATGGGGCACAGGTGGGTGGGTCACTGCAAACTCAAGACTGGCTGGCTGGCACATAGTATCTGACTCCTAAGAAAAGTGGGAACCTAAGTGTAGACAATAAGGGAAGCTTCACTGGTGCCCTAGTGAACGGTGTAAAAGTTGCCCATTGTTATTGTGAAATTTGTCTCCTCTGAGACTTTGGGAAAACTGAATAGAAAACAAAGTTGATTAAACTTTTGTCACATCCTCAGCCAAATTAATTATGTAATTGGATGAGTTTCTCTTCCCATATTTCTCCTCTATCAGCCCCGCCCTCTACTTTTGAACAAGGCTATAAATAACCTCCAGTTACTTGTTTACTCTCCACGGGGTCTTCATCTGAAAATCAAAGAACTACTATTTTGTATTAGGAGGCAAGAGTTCATTAGGGTTTATATTCCAAAATGACTATAAACAAATAAATATTGAAGGAATCAAGTCAATGTTGATAATAGATTGTAGCAGTGGGGGGTCCTTCAATGTGGGGTATGTTTTTTGAGACAGGGTGTCTATGTAGGTAGCCCTGGCTGTCCTGTAACTCCCTATGTAGACTAGACTGGCCTCAGATTCACATAGATTACCTGCCTCTGTCTCCTGAATGTTGGTATTATAGCCATTCTGGAACCTATACTCTTGTCTCCTAATACAAAATAGTAGTTCTTTGGTTTTCAGAGTGATTTTTTTTTTTTGAGACAGGATTTCTTCCTGTTGCCCTGGCTGTCCTGAAACTTGCTTTGTAGACCAGGCTGGCCATGAATTCAGAGATCATCACCCCCATCCCCAACCCCCACCTCACTCTGTGCTGGGTTTAAAGGTATGTGCCACCACAGCCCAGCTCTAGTCTTTATCTCTCTATCCTCCATAACCTTGCAGAGACATACTCAGTTTAACCCAGGGTTCTCTCTGCTCTTCCCACACCCTTCATTTTTGAGACAGTGTCTCACTTTGTAGTTCAGGCTGGCTCTTAATTCACAGCATCCTTCAGCATCAGCCTCCTGAGTGCTAGGATTATTGATATTACGACCACACCTGGCTCAGATTCTTTTTGTGGTTTTACTTTTATGGGTGTGTGACGTATACATGTGTTCATGTGGGTAGGTATGTGTGCCTGTTGAGGCTGGTGGTCCACATCAGGTTTCTTCCTTGATGGGTCACCATTACTGAATGTGGAGCTCATTGATTTAGCTCGACTTAGCTGCAGACAAATTCTCCTGGACATAGCTTTTTATGTGGGCACTGGGGGTCCAAACTCAGGTTTTTTATACTCGAGCAGCAGGCATTTACTGATGTGCCCCAGGTCCTCTTCTTTTAAGGTATAATCATCGTCTTAGTTTGCTCCACCCAAATCTTAAACCAAAATAACAGGGCTCAAGGTTCACCTGCCTCTGTCTATTGAGTGCTGGAATTAAGGTGTATATCACCACTTTTGACTTTTTTTAATTAGCCCTTTTTGTTCCATTTCTGGATTCTCCTAAGCCTGAGCATTCTTTTCTGTGTCCTTTTAGTCATTCCACACAGTGATCTCGAGTCAATCAGAATGCCTAAGTTTTTACTGAGTCTTTGAAACCTGAGTCCATTTGGTTTGGTTACACGGACATCTAGGCTTGGGACCCAGGCACCATCCTTCATCTCCCAGTCCTCTGTGGCTGATGAAGCATCCAACATTCCCCAGGAGCTCTTAAGGGGTCTGGTCTGTGCAAGCCTCAGTGAGGATTGGATCCCTCTTTATGGTTCTGCCAGCTCTGAGAAGGTTAGAAGGGCCAGGGGTGAAGGCTATAGGAAGGAAGGGACAAGAGCAGAGTTGCTTGAGCCTTTGAGACTTGTTAGTCTGACATGAGAAACGGGGAGGAGGGAATTAAAATAGTTGAGACAGGGTGACTTTTTTACCCCCTTCCTTTTTTGAGATGATTTCTCTGTGTAACCTTGGCTGTCCTGGAACTCTCTCTGTAGACCAGGCTGGCCAAGAAACTCAGTGATCCTCCTGCCTCTGTTGGGATTAAAGATATGTGTCACCATGCCCAGTTAGAATAAGTTGGTTGTTGGATTTTGTTTGTTTTGGAGACAGGGTTTCTCTGTGTGGCCTTGGCATCCTAGAACTAGCTCTATAGACTAGGCTAGCTTTGAACTACATGTAAATTTTTCTTAACTGTTCTTTTGTACAAGGCCTCTGATAAATAGTGGTACTTACTTCCTGTTTATTAAGCCCTCTACCCTCTAAAGGCTAACCTCCCTTTTCTTTCTTCTTGAAGCAAAGCCTCTTATGGCCCAGGCTGTCCTCAAATGAGCTGTGAAGCAAGCTGAGGGTGGCCTTGAATTTCTGGATCTTTCTGCTTCTTTCTCTATAGGGCTTGGATTACAGACCTGTGCCAACATGCCTGATTTTATGTGATGTTGGGCAGGAACTCTATGTCTGTGCTACAGCCCCATCACTAAGTTCACTTGTTTTTCTCTTGGAAAAGGTTCTGTACCCTGCCAACCCTTTGGATCCAAGGTGTTTCAACTTTCTCACTTTCTGTTGTCCCTGAATTCAGTTTTCGACCTCTCATATCATTTAACAACAGATTAAAGCATTACTGCATGAGAACTACCTGGGTGTGATTCCTTGTTCTGCCTTCTACTTTTGGATCATCCTGATTTGGCAAACTACTTAATGGCTCTGTGACTCTTTCCAAACTATTGTAAGTGTTGCAATAAGATTTAAATGGCATTATCATGTGCTTAGCACACATTCTTGATGTAGTTTACATAGTAGTCTTTCAGTATTAACTGAAGTTTACTAGAGTAAAATTGAAATCTAGGATAAGTGGGAACCCCCTGGTTCCAGCTAATGGATGGGGTGGGTGGTGAGTAATCTTGGCCTTTGTATATATAAATGTTTATGCGGTCTACTTCTTTTTAGGGGCAGGGTGCCGGTGGGTGAGATTGAGAAGAGGCCCAGGCTGCATTGCCCCACTTTAGCTCACTTGGCAGGAAAGTCTTGACAGAGCTAGTGGGACACAAACACTTAACTACAATGGGAAGTGGCCAGCTTGATTTTGATAATACTGTTGAGGCAGCCAGCATTAGAGAACTGAAAAGCAAGAGACTCTTTGCTAGATCTTTTCAATGCTTAGATTCTTCATTCTGTGGGGGCTAGATGTTTTCGTAATATTTGGGTCTGTCCTCTCCTTTTCCCAGCCTCTGTCCATCCCCAGTCTGTATGTCCCAGTCAACATTCCCCATGCCCCTAGGGTTCCCTGTTTTGCTCCAAGTCCTTTTTCCTTAAAAGGGTCTTCTCTGAGAGCCTCTAGTTCTTAGTCTCCGGTGTGTAAGCGTGACGTTCAATCAGGGAGAAGAACCCACCACTGAACTCTAAACTCTTTGACTGCTTTTATTTTTCTTTTTTCAGGTTCAAGTGCTGGATTGTGTCATGTGACTGTCCCAAAACTCAGAGCACCCTATGGCCATCTTTGCCCTCTGTCACATAACTCGAAAACTGCCTGATGGCCTTTTTGCAGTGGTTCCTTCCTGAAAACCTTGATGTCAGTGAAGTCCTTTCCTAACATTCCAGTGCCCCTATCAGCCCATACTCCTCAAACACCCTTA